ATTTCTAGTTTGTTCCTTCATTTGTGTAGTATTTCTCTGCCTTTTCACTACTATTTTTTTAAACTTATTGTATTTGAGGTCTCCTTTTCCCAGGCTTCAAGGTTGAATTCTTTCTTCCTTTTGGTTTCTGCCCTCTAGGGTTGGTCCAGTGGTTTGTGTAAGCTTCTTATAGGCTAAGATTTGTGTTGAGTTTTTGTTTCTTTGTTTTTCTTTCCTCTGATGGGCAAGGCTGAGTGAGGTGGTAATCCTATCTGCGATGACTGGGTTTGAATTTTTGTTTTATTTGCTGTTTAGATAAGGGGTCCTTCACAGGGTGCTATTGGTGGTTGGGTAATGTCAGGTCTTATATTATAGTGGTTTCCTTTTTGTGAGTTCTCACTATTTGATACCCCCTGGGTTAGTTTTCTGATAGTCTAGGGTCTTAGAGTCAGTACTCCCACTCCAAAGGGCTTGATCTTGGAGCTCATGTAACTGAAGGAATACTTGAACAGGAAGCACACGTGATCTCCAGTGATACTGGTGTCGCCACACAACTCCACCCCGGGGAGTTTGCAAATTCCAAGCCGTTTTTTGCTTCTGGTCTTTGCTTGAGATGTTACTTTTGAAACCTCCTCCTCTATCCACTTTCTGTCCCATCCTTGCATGTTGATTTGTTGATGATGTGTGACAATGGAGAGATTATGGTGGAGGAAGAAGATCATGGTAGCAAATGAGTTTTAAAAGCTTTATATGGTACTGATAGTGATGGCAAAAAGGGTTTTTTAACTTTTTTGTAATATAATGTCCAGCTTAACCTCATTTCAAATTTGGTTTAGTATTTTAGCAAGGTTATTCAGGCTCAAAGATACTTGCCATTTTCCCGTTGGTGATTTTTCCCTTTATTTTATAGATTTGCTCGTTTTAGATTGAAAGTAAATTTTTTGGAACCATTACTAGGTCTTATTAATCAAAGTGTTCAAGGTAGAATCGTTACATTGAAACCAAAACCAGAGACTTAAGTTTCTGTTTTTCCTTACCCTGATGTATTGGTCCCAGTGTTGTCAGAGTATTAATTCTCTGCTGGAAGAGTAAAGAGGCAGCATAAAAGAAAAGAGAGAGTGAGTGTAACCTAATGTGAACAGAATGGAATACCACCTGCTGTATTTGCATTCCAGATACATGTCTTGGACAGGTTCTTTGACTCTTTGTGCTTCAGTTTCCTCATTCATGAAACAAAGATAAAGTAGTATTTTATCACAGGTTTTTTGTGAAGATTAAATGTTTACTATTTGTAAAGACTTTAGGATAGTGCCTGGCACATAGTAAGTGCTATACAAAAGTTAGCTATTATTAATTACTCCTTAGTTAACTCTGCTTATCCAGTCCCTTCTATGTGTATTTAATAACTGAGAAAGAGCTTTTCTTTTTGTTCAGTTTTATTGAGATGTAATTAACATACAGTAAGGAAGAACTTTTATTTTTGCCCAATGTTTAAGCTCCTCTGAGTTCCCTTAAGAAACGTTATAGGAATAAAAACCTCTTAAATGTTTATTTCCTTACTCTTAACTCTGGTTATCAGTCCTGAATGTAGAGAAACTGTCCTGATCTTAGTGGTCGGTGTCTTTTTTAAGCAATGGGTTGTGGTTTGTATCTATTAACAATCTCTGTTTCTATTGTCTATAAGGTAGTAAAAGTAAATTTAGATCTTCAGAGTAGACATACAATGACTTCTATCTCTTTCAGAAATGCTAAAATAGACATGCAATGCAGGAAACTTCTTTTCATATCTGTTGAATGTGTGTATAATCAGGAAATGGTTAGGAATAAATTATTGATGTGTTGATAATGCTCGGGAGTATAGTTACATTATAGATTATTCTTGATTTGGGCAGATTAGGTAGCTTGAATGACAGCATCTTCTAGTTTTTGAAACCAGGAGAAAATAAACCTAAAAAACAAAAAGCTAAAAAAAAAAAAAATGAAACCATTCTAATGGACATGAGGAAATGCATATTGAGTCTTTCTTCAAATTCCTACATGATTTTTCTACCAGGATTACAACTTTGGTCTCAAAATATATTTTCCCTACTTCTCTACATCCCACTAAAAGTTTATGGGAAAAGTTTTCAAGAATGACTAGTTTTTAAGCTTTGGACCATAAGCCCTAAGTGATTTGGACTTGGATTGTTTAGAATAGAATAATAATATTTTAGAGCTGGAAGAGAACTTAAGAATGTCATGTGATCCAAAACTGCGAAAATGTGTAGTTAAGGATATTTAGACCAGGAGCTTTGATGCACACAGCAAATGTTTGGACTAATTTTGGACTTTTTCCTCAGTTTTTGGTTCAATGAGAGTATTTTTTTTTTAATACTCTGTACAAATGGTTCTTGTTTTACAGCCTTTCAAGAATGTCAGTCCTTGATTTAACAAGTTTACTTAGAAAAGCAGAGTTATTAACCAAGCAAATAGTTAAATCATGTACATAATTCCAGAAGAAATGTTTTTGCCATGGCAAACCACAGTATGGATATTTTATGGGTTAAACATTTAAAGTATTTTAAGAACAACAGCCCTTCCTACTTTCTTTTTTGCCGAACCTTTTTGTAAGAAAAAATTTAGAAAACCTTCTCGTATTTAGTTTTGTTATCCGTGGCTCTTTTCTTCCAGGGCCTTATAACTTTTACTTTATCTCTAAGTCCTTGTCTTTTATTTTAGGATATTCCTTTTGGTTTCCACCACATCCACATGGTCATATATAGTTCCCTTTTTATCATCACAAAGGTTTTTGTTATCTTTACAAATTTGGCTGATTGGGAACTAGAGTTGGGACTTTGCTATACAGGACCTTTTATAAAATTTTTACCACCAAATAAACTAAAGGCCCAATCTGCTGACACTATAATATCCACTTGAATTTATACATCCATTCTTTTGATGTGAAAATATTAAACTGTCTATTAGAAACAAAATCTAACAGAGTAACAAGCATAACTTAATGTCCAAATAAGTATGATTTAACATACTAATCTGTTTGGGGACATATTAAAAAAGTTTAAAAAATGGGAAATTTCTGGATGAGGAGCTAACTTACTGCAACATTGTTCATAACAGCACCCTCGAGAGGAAGCAACCTAAATGTCCCTCAGTAAGGGAATGGATAAAGTAAAGTGTTTCATTAATGGAATACTATCTACCAGTTGAGATGAAGAAAGTAGATCTGTATCAATTTTACTAATTCTCAAAAACATTTTGATAAGTGAGAAAGCAAGCCATAAAGGCATGTATTCAGCACTTCACCACTTATGTAAAGGTACAAAGCATACAAAATAATGATATATACTTAAAGATGTATATATTTACATAGTAGAAATTTTAAAAATACAAGTGAATGAAATGCACTAGCTTCAGGCCAATAGTTAACTCAGAGGGCAGAAAGGAATGGAAGATGAGGCTTTAGTTAAATTGTAATTTTTTTGTTTATATATTAAGATATTGGAAGCAAATATGGTTATTGTTAACATTTGTTAAAGCTGGGTGGTTAGTAAATGGGTGTTTTTATGGTAGTCTCTTAATATTTTTAAAATGTATTTCTTAAAGTAAGTGTATTTTCTTTATATATATTTGTTCTCAGTGCTAAGTATCTGTCCTCATGTACTGGTCCATGCAAGCACTCTTCATCATGTATGCACAAACACATCACCTCACATTCATTCCTTTAACAAGTATTTATTAAGTATTTTTATATAATAGGCACTGTTGTGGGTGCTCCAGATACAGCAGTGAGCAAAACAAAGCTTCTACCATCATGGAGCTTATTATGTTCTAGTGGTGGGAGGCAGATAATAACAAAATATACTATAAGCCAAATGGTGGTAAGTGCTATGTATGGAGGAAAACAACAACAGCAACAACAAGACAGGGGCAGTAAGGAGGACCAAGGAAGGTAGAAGGAGACTTGGTATTGCATATAAAGGGATGAAAGGAGGGCTGTCTAATAAAGTGATGTTTAGTTGAAACCTAAAGGAAGTATGCTTTGGGAATGCATGTTATCACCTCTTGTCAAGTGGTGGCATCTTCTAAGTTACACATCCATTTCAGACTTCTCACCTTACCTCCATTTGACTCTGCACTTGGATGTCTAATAGATGTTTCAAAACTGACTGTGTCTAAAACTCCTTTACTCTCAGATTGGCTTTACCCACAGTCTTCTTCATCTCCTCTGGGGACTAGGAATTTGAGACTCTTTTGGAAGTAGCTGTTATTTAAAAGCCTGGTACCAAATAGATGAGATCCTTTAGAGAAAGTAGAGAAGAGACCACATTTAATGATCAGGAAAAGAGAGGCTTCTACAAGGGAGATTGAGACTGGCCAGAGATATGGTGGCAAGGGACCAGGAGAGTATGATGCTTCAAGAGCCAAGAAAGAAAAATGTTTCAGGAAGGGGGTCATTAATGATATCAAAATCTGCTGAGAGACTGAAAAAGATGAAGACTAAGAATTGACTATTAGAATTAGTATTATTAAAGTTTTTACAGTGTTCTTTTAAAAAATGGTAGGATTAAAACCTGGTTTGGAATAGATTCATGACAGAATAGGAAATAGGAAAATGGATATGGCAAAGTACAACTCTTGAGTTTGGTATAAAGAACTGTGAAAAGTCTGGCAATATCTGAAAGGTGTTGTGGAATCAAAAGGAACATCTACATCCACATGAGTGGATATTACATGTTTGTCATTTCTGTCCAAAGTTTGAACTTAGAATAAAATCTAAATTGTTGTGGCTTGGTTTTGTTTTAAATAGTTGTATTCCTCATGTTATTTCTGTTGCAAGGAAAAAATACATTAACTTTTATTTCTGAAAGAAAATTGGGCAATAACTCCAATAAAATGCCAGCAAAATAACCAACTGAAAATAAAAAGAAATCTGTCATTACATACTGCAGAAATCAAAGAGATTCTGTTTTATTAAGTTACTGCCTTTTAAAGTTTAATATTTCTTTTTTTTTTTTCAAATTCAGTGGGGATCAGCAGTGTACTTATGTTATAAAAAATCAGTGGCAAAGACTAACACTATATCTTACAAAGCTGGTAAGTATAATTTTTCATGGGCTACTTAATATATAATGTATTATGGGACCAATAAGATTAAAGAAAAAAAAAAAAACTCTGCCTTAAAATGTGTTAATGTCAGGACTGAGACTATAACATGTCTTTTGATTGTTTTGTCTTTATCCATACTTTATTGGATGCTTAGAGGAATATTAATTTTAAAAGAAGGCAAGGTTTTTTTAAAATAATAGGTTTAAGTAAATAATAAGTAGATATCATTCTCTTAAAGTCTTAAATCAGAGACTATGAGGATAATATTTACATTCCTTTTGGATTAGTTTCCTTAATATTTATATTGCTACTGTACTGTGTGCACGATCAGTCATGTCTTGACTCTTTTGCGACTCCATGGACTATAGCCTGTTAGGCTTCTCTGTTCATGGGATTTTTCAGGAGAGAACACTGGAGTGGGTTGCCATTTCTGTCTCTAGGAGACCTTCCTGACCCAGGGATCTAACCTGAAGCTCTTGTGTTTCCTACATTGCTGGGCAGATCCTTTACCCCTGGTGCCACCTGGGAAGCCTAGTATTTATATTAAATTTAGTCAAGTCTGTAGTTTATATGTAATTATATTTCAAAATAATCAGAAATATTATAAATAATTTATAATTTTATAATGCATAGTTGAAATTTTCAGTTACCAGAAGCCTCAAAATATCAAGTTATTTATAAGAAAGCAGATTCAACTTTTCAAAAAATAAAATTTTAAAGTTAGTATCCTAGACTCCTACCTTCTTCTGCCTGTGATTTTCTAGGATCCACAGTTCATTGCTGTTTCTGTAGTTTCTTAAAGGCTATACCATTATTTCATGACTTGAGAAAGTAATGGACAGTTTACTGTAAATCCTCATGAGATCAACTGGTTGGCTAACATATAATTTGGAGAAGGCCATGGCAACCCATTCCAGTTTTCTTGCTTGGAGAATCACATGGACCGAGGAGCCTGGCAGACTAAGGTCCATGGGGTTGCAAAGAGTCAGACATGTTTGAGTGATTTAACAGCAGCCAGCAGCATATAATTAGAGAATTGTAGAATTGCCTTGGACCTCAGTATATTTAGTTCATCTCACTTTATAGATGAGAAAACTGGAGACCTATGGGTACATGACTTGTCTGAAGTCAAACAGCTATTAGTGACAGACCAACCACTCATATTCCCAGTTTGTCATTTTATTTTTAACATTGTGTCATGATGGTTTCCACTGGACTTTAGGGATTCAAGCTTAGGAAACCTGTTACTGTTTCTAGTCCCACAAAATCCAGTAAAAGAGTCTGCTCTTGAGGGTTTGTTAAGTAGAAGATACCTGGACTGCTTTGTCAACTAGTCTATTTAACATGAAATCATATACCACTTGAAACTCTATTTTCTAAATGACCCAATCAAAAAATGGGCCAAAGAACTAAACAGACATTTCTCCAAAGAAGACATACAGATGGCTAACAAACACATGAAAAGATGCTCAACATCACTCATTATCAGAGAAATGCAAATCAAAACCACAATGAGGTACCATTACACGCCAGTCAGAATGGCTGCTATCCAAAAGTCTACAAGCAATAAATGCTGGAGAGGGTGTGGAGAAAAGGGAACCCTCTTACACTGTTGGTGGGAATGCAAACTAGTACAGCCACTATGGAGAACAGTGTGGAGATTTCTTAAAACACTGGAAATAGAACTGCCATATGACCCAGCAATCCTACTTCTGGGCACACACACCAAGGAAACCAGATCTGAAAGAGACATGTGTACCCCAATGTTCATCGCAGCACTGTTTATAATAGCCAGGACATGGAAGCAACCTAGATGCCCATCAGCAGACGAATGGATAAGGAAGCTGTGGTACATATACACCATGGAATATTACTCAGCCATTAAAAAGAATTCATTTGAATCCGTTCTAATGAGATGGATGAAACTAGAGCCCATTATACAGAGTGAAGTAAGCCAGAAAGATGAACACCAATACAGTATACTAACGCATACATATGGAATTTAGAAAGGTGGTAATGATAACACTATATGCAAAACAGAAAAAGAGACACAGATGTATAGAACAGACTTTTGGACTCTGTGGGAGAAAGCAAGGGTGGGATGATCTGAGAGAATAGCACTGAAACATATATATTATCAAGTGTGAAACAGATCCCAGTCCATGTTGGATGCATGAGACAAGTGCTCAGGGTTGGTACACTGGGATGACCCAGAGGGATGGGATGGGAAAGGAGGTGGGAGGGGGGTTCAGGATGGGGAACACATGTAAATCCATGGCTGATTCATGTCAATGTATGGCAAAAACCATACCATTAGCCTCCAACTAATGAAAAATAAATGAAAAAATAAATAAAATGGGGAAAAAAAAGAAACTCTATTTTCGTATAATCTTCATATAATTTCATATAATTCAGAAGCTTGGCTTAAGTTGATACTATTTTAAAGACATTGGAAGTATGTGATTTCTATTTTTATGTATAATTTTTCTCATATTTGTGCTAGAAGTTATATATATAGTCCTATAGAATATCTGAATTAATGTGTCAAAAAAAAAACCCTGAGGTAAAGGTATCAAAAACTAGTAAAGTGAATATATGCATATTGAAAATTCCCTCCCCAAATAGTATGTTTATATGCTGTAAGGTAATATGAACACAAAATGAATTTTTAGGAAAGTGAAATAAAGTGAAGTCGCTCAGTTGTGTCTGACTCTTTGTGACCCCATGGACTGTAGCCTACCATACTCCTCCGTCCATGGGATTTTCCAGGCAAGAGTACTGGAGTGGGTTGTCATTTTCTTCTCCAGAGGATCTTCCCAACCCAGGGATCCAGGGTCTCCTGCACTGTAGTCAGATGCTTCACCGTCTGAGTCTTGGGGCGGGGGGGGGGAGTGTGTGCGTACTTGTGTGTGTTTCTTTGTGTGTGCTTAGTCGCTCAGTCATGTCTGACTCTTGGCGACCCCGTAGACTGTAGCCCACCAGGCTCCTTGGTCCATGAGATTTTCTAAGGCAAGAATACTGGAGTGGGCTGCCATTCCCTTCTTCAGGGAATCTTCCCCACCCAGGTCTCCTGCATTGCAGGCAGGTTCTTTACTGTCTGAGCTACCAGGGAATGGTCTTTTCCTGTTTGCCTTACTAACCTTTGTGGATGAAACTTGATAAATATTAAGTAGTTAGTATGACTAGTTTAAGGATTAAAATCTACTTGAATCTTATTAAAGCATTCAGAGTTACTTGGTGAACATATATAGTATTTTAGTCTTCCAGATGTGTTAAATAACAAAGCATTAAGCATCATTCAAATTATGAGCTGCTAAATTCAAGAGATGATGAGCTAATATTTATTATTGTTTTTATAGGTCTAATTTGTAGATACCCTCAAGAAGATTATGAGTCATTCTCACTCCCAGAATCTGTTCCCCTGTTTTGTTTACCAATGGGTGCAACTATTGAATGTTGGCCATCAAATAGCAAATACCCGCTCCCTGTATTTTCTACGTTTGTGTTAACTGGAGCCTCAGCTGAAAAGGTACTCTGTTTAACAAATGATATCTGCAGTTTTCTTGTACATTTTCAAGTCTTAAGCTTTATATGCAGGAACAATAGAAACAATAACTGGTTAAATTGGATCTATTATATGCACCTCTTTCACTTTGTTAAAATAACTATATCCGGAGACATAGAAAAAGAAAATTTTCATTCTGTCTTACATACGCAAATACTTTTCTTGTGAATATGCTGAAAGATTTTTTTCGTTATCAAGTGATGATCCTGGATTGCTTAATTTTCTGTGTTACAAAGTTTTAAAGTAATACTAAGACTTTATTAAATATGCAGTGCTGTTTGGAACCATAGCCTATTATCGTTGAAATGGACTTTGATAATCTTCTAGTGTAATATCTTCATTTTATATATTGGGAAACTGAGGTCTAGAGAAATTCAGTGGATTGTCTGAAGTTGAAATTTGTATTTCCTTATCTAAAATTCTGTCCTGCTCTCTACTAAATAATTATTAGGTGGGCCAAAAAGTCTGTTTGGATTCTTCAATAGCATCTTACAGAAAAACCCAAATGAACTTTCTGGCCAACCCATTGTTTTCAGTCATTTTCTTATAGAGAATATCAACACAATTGTTTTCACTCTTTATAAAATGAATTTAATTAAACATACTGTTTTCCAATAATAAATAAGGGAACCTGACAGTTGCACTGTGTAGTTTTTGCTGCTGTCATCATCAATGTTAAAATCTAATGTACTTCAAGAAAGCAAGAGCAATGTCTCTTCACCACTGTTTCTGGTACCTGGCACCTTGCCTGGCTCATAGGCATATAATGGCTCATAATAGCTCATCCATTAAATATTTAACTAATGATGTGATTTGAGTAAATGATATAAGGCATATTTATCAAATGTATTATGTTTTCCAGGTCTATGGTGCTGCTATTCAGTTTTATGAACCATACTCCGAGGAGAATCTCACAGAAAAACAGAGATTCCTTTTGGGTTTAGCTTCATCAGCAAATGAGAAGTCTGATAGTTCCAAGACAATTCACACTAATAAATGCATCTGTCTTCTCTCTCACTGGCCTTTTTTTGATGCATTCAGGAAGTTTTTGACTTTTCTATATCGTTATTCCATCTCTGGACCTCATGTCCTTCCAATTGAGAAGTAAGTTAGCAGCCCTCTTGGGTCAAAATTTGGCAGCTCTTTCCACTATGTATGGTATATTTGTACTGGTAATTGAATGGATTTTATTTGGAAACTAAATTTTTCAAGAGAAAAAAAGATTTGGTTGATTCAATTAGGTAATATTTCTCTTACTATAACTGTGTGTGTTTGTTTGTTTGTTTGTTTGTTTGTTTGTTTTAACTGTGTGTGTTTGTATTCAGTTGCTTAGTATGTCTGACTCTCAGCAACCCCATGGAATGTGACCTGCTAGGCTACTCTGTCCATGGGGTTTTCCAGGCAAGAATACTGGAGTAGGGTTGCCATTTCTTCCTCCAGGTGATCTCACCGACCCACATCACTTGCATTGGCAGGCCGATTCTTTACCACTGAGCCATCTGGAAAGCTCCAATTATATCTACAGTTTTGTTATTTTAGATAATTTTATTTCTAACAAATGACATAAATGTTTCATTTTTTAGTATCTTGTGAAGTTTGGAGATCCTAACTGGAATTTTTTTTTATAGGTTTTGTGATTCTTATTTTACATATAATCTGGGCTTATTATATTCCTTACTATTTTTAGATATCATAGATATCATTTAGATATCATTTTAGATACGCGGAGGCCTGGTGTGCTGCAGTCCATGGAGTCTCAAAGAGTGGGACAGTACTGAGCAACTGAACTGAACGTAGATATTTTGGGCTTCCCTGGTGGCTCGGGAAACCTGAGTTCGATCCCTGGGTTGGGAAGATCCCCTAGAGAAGGAAATGGCAACCCATTCCAGTATTCCTGCCTGAGAAATCCCATGGACAGGGACAGCCTGGAGGGCTACAGTCCATTGGGTCGCAAAGGGTTGAGCACGACTGAGCAACTAACATTTTCACTTTCACTTTAGATATTTTAGATTCCGTGCTCTTCTGATGTTTTCTATCCAGATGAAATTATCTCAGTTCTGCAGCCAAGGTGATTTGGAAATAGTTTAAAAGTAATATAGAAATAAAATAACTCTTTCTTTAAAATGGATTGTTTACTATTGTTTCCTTTTTCCTTTTCCATGGTGTTCAAAACAAAACCCATCAATCTATCTCTTTATCTGTCTTCTTCTGAGGAAAAAGCCAAAAAAATCAGCAATATAATTTTTAACTTATTAATCGAAAGTATACTGTTCTTATTTTAGAAATAGTTAAACTCCTTCATTTTTCTGAAATACTCAATGGTTGCTTCATTTTTAAAATACGTGCAATTGACTAAAAATAAGTGTTTTGCAGTGCAAGAATTAGCTTCTTTGGTAATGTCTATATAAGGTAGAACTTAAAATGGCTTTTGAGACATTGATAACACAGTTATTACTGGATATGAGAGAATATTAATATGGAAATTTATTGGGTGGGTTTATACAGAAGCAACTTAAATGATACAAATGTTTTGGTTGTTTGTTCACTTGTTTTTGTGGTAGCAGGGATTTCGAAATTATCAGTACACAGAGCTCTTGACTCACCATGAACTTGTGGTGACATGTTGACCTTTATAGCATATTGTATTCTCTTTGGAATCAATTAGGTTTTTGTTTGTTTGTTTTTAAGGCATATTTCTCATTTTATGCATAAAGTTCCTTTTCCATCTCCTCAGAGACCACGGATTCTAGTTCAGGTAAGATTTTCTTGATGTAAGTGCTCTATTGAATGATTATGGACTCTGTCAAAATGTAACCTAAGTATAACAGTTTTATAAGAGGAAACAAACATCAAATGGAATCAAAAGAGAACCAGATGCTGCTTCATGCTGGAGTTTGGACCCTTATGATTTTATTAACTGCCTCCCAGCCAACATCTAATGTTTCCTCTTAGATAAAGGGTTGTAGACTTGACGAAGTAGACAGCAGTAGACATTTTGAACACATAAAAAGGAACTGCTTTCCCTAAGTTTATTCTTGGTATTTAAAAGTTTTGCCTTTGGCACTTATTCCCTAAGTTAAGTGTATTAGAATAGATGAAAGAAAAAGTTGTGTGTTTTCCTAATTGCAGGAAGAATTGCTCACATCCTTGTGACAGGAAGTTTAAAGTGAACATAAATTATTTTCCCCATCTCTTTTCCCAGTTGGCTTTATCTTTCCTTTTTTGTTTATGTTTCTTTTTTGTTTATACTGTCGATATGTAAGTTGTTTTTTTAAGCATAATTTTTGAAGTGATCTTGAGAAAATTTTTTCATGTATTATCACTGTATGTGCCTTATTGTATTTATCACAACCCTTAGTGGAGTATCATTCAAAATTAGAAATTATTTATAAATAGATATTTAATATTTGTGTAAATATGCATAAAATTTTAAATGGAGATTAATTGCATTAATATATTGATACAGATAAAGTGTCTAGAAAAATATCATTTTGATAAGTGTTGTAAATAGTCTGCACATCTACATATCATCCCGAGTTACTTCTTGATATTTAGTGTCAGAATACAGCACACTCAGGTTGCATACACATGAAAGATTTACAGCTGAAGTTGGCGAGTGTTTTCTGTTGAGGACCAGACAGTAAATACTTCAGACTCTACAGGCTGTGTTGTCTCTCTGAAAACTGCTCAGCTCTGCTTTCATTGCACAAAAGCAGCTGTACGTAACATGTGAACAAATGTGCATGGCTGTTTTGATAAGACTTTATTTATAAAAGCAGGTGATCTGTGGATTTGCCCTGAGGCCATAGATTAGCTAACCCTGGTTTTATGATATTAAATGAACAGTTTATTCTTTCAATACAGGTTTGTTAAAATGGCATCAGGGAAATGTTGAGGAATAGAAGAAAAGAATATGGTTTAGAGTAAGAAGAATTAGTACTTAGGTCAGTCATCAGGACATATTTTTTAGGGTCTTAGTAAGTGATTTAGACTATTCCTATAACTGGTGAATGGGAATATTGAAACTTTATGGGCATCATCTATATGTATGTGTGTGAAATTTTTTTACTGGAAGGTGGTGTTTTAAAGTTATTCTTTATATTTGAAATACTTTATTTCATATCTATTTTCAGTTATCACCACATGATAATCTGATCCTCAGTCAGCCTGTTTCTTCACCTCTTCCATTGAGGCAAGTAAATCTTCATTGTGTTTCTCTAAATGTTTAGTGTAAGCTAAAATAGCATTCAAGTATTTTCTGTCTTTCCTAGGGAGAATTGTAAATGTTGATGGAAATATTTCTCACCTAATTGTTTCTTATTTAAATTTCTTTTACTTAAAATTTAGGTTAAAGTTCTTGAAGAACAAAGAAAAACTTTTACAGTAATGTTTGGTATTTTGCATATCCACTTAACTATGATCAAGTGTGTGCAACTGTTAATGCATAAATGAGTACATATGTCTATAGTTTATGAAAATGATTATTTTTTAGCTTTAAATATCCTCTGAAAAATATTCATTTTAAAATTAACCCCCAAATAAAAAGTTACTTATAAATACTAGCCCATGGAATAGAATAATGTATTTCACCACCTTAAAAGTTCAGAGATTATGAAATATGTTTTTTCTAAAGTATCATTTCTTGATATTTAGTTAGCCATGTACTTTTTCTAGCAGGGAAGTAGTTACAATATAATTAAGTTATTTGGTGGCACGTACCTAAGGGAGAACAGCTGCCATCTTTGACGTTAATTTTGTAAGAATTGCAGATTATTTCATCACCAGGTCTTGGCCCAGAGTGACCAGTGTTTTCTTAACCTTTGTTTGAACTGAGAATAAACTAGAAATACTGAGACTACCAAGAGACTTTTTTTTTGGTAATGACTTTATTGGTATATAACTCACATACCATACAGTTCACCTAGTTAAATTGTACAATTCAATGAATATATTCACAGTGTTCTGCAACTATGACTGTAATCAATTTCAGAACATTTTCCTAGCTCAAAAAAAACACCTGTATCTTTTAGCAGTTACCCTCCCTTACCTCTAACATCCCTACATATACAAACACACAGACACCCTCCCCAGCCCTAGGCAACTGCTTATCTACTTCTTTCTCTACAGATGTGCCTGTCCTGGACACTTGTATAAGTGGAATCATGTAACAACCTTTTGTATATACATAGAATTCTTTATTTGAACATTATCTACATGGCAGATCATTTTATACAAAAAAGGAAGTGGATAACTTTGCATTTTCCATATTTAATACAAGGCAGAAGATGTGGATGACTTCAAAACCTCATAAAACTTCATTATTTTCATAGTGTGTTTCTGATGCAGCGTTTTCCCTACAAAATAGCAACAGTCATGTTTAAAGTTGAATATATCATGTGAACTGTAACCCTACCTACTCATAAACTTTAAAAAAAAAATTATTGTGTACAATGAGATGTTTGGATCTCTATTTTTTAATTCTGTATCTTTGTTTGGACTTACAGTGGTGGCAAGTTTTCCACACTGCTCCAGAGTTTAGGCCCTGAGAATGCTGTGACGCTCCTGGTGTTTGCAGTGACAGAGCATAAGATTCTCATTCATTCCTTACGGCCTTCTGTGCTTACCAGTGTGACAGAAGCATTAGTATCTGTGAGTACCACAGTTTCTTCTTGGCAGTGAGTTTCATTTTAAACCTAATTATTCATATAATTTAAAGTTATTTCAGTGCTTAACTAAAATTCAGAGTGTAATGAATTTTAATCTTCTGACCATTAACACTAATTATAATTATTTAACAAGTATTAAACTACTTTAGGTATAAATATTTAAAAGACAATTTTCTATGTTGCCAATGAATTATGCTTCAATGTTAAAACAGCTAAATATTCTCTTATCTTTTATCCAAGATGATTTTCCCTTTCCACTGGCCATGCCCCTATGTTCCTCTCTGCCCACTGGCTTTAGCAGATGTCTTGAGTGCACCATGTCCATTCATAGTAGGAATTGATTCAAGATACTTTGATCTCTATGACCCTCCACCAGATGTCAGTTGTGTTGACCTAGATACCAACACCATTTCTCAGTAAGTTTGTTTCAGTGATTCTACATTCTGTAATTTGCAACTTTGTAGCTTTTTTTTTTTTTTTTGGTATATTTTGTGATTATAACTAGAATTCTGTTGAGCTATATTTTTTTTAATATTTGGGGTTTTTACCATCTTTGAATCAGTTCTTACTATACTTTGATGAGATGGATTTAGTGTACTGGAGAAGGTTTTAATCCTCAGATATTTAAATAGTTAAGAGATATTATAATTTTATGCCTTAGAAATTTATGTAAGGAATATAAGGATTCTATAATTTTCTCTCTCTTTATTGAAATAATATTTAAGTTGTACCTACTGTAACTATATAGCTTTTCTTTAATTCAGTATTTTCTCTTGTGTCCTTTATTTTCAGTTTAATCATACTTAAGCTCTTCAGGGAAGAGGAAATTGATGCAATACCACATTGCATCCACAGGACATACTTAAAATAACTGCGAGTTACCCTGTTAGTAAAGCCCCACAGCCCTTTTACAGTTTAATTCTTCAAATATTAAAGTAGCGTCTCTTTTTTTTGGCTAGTTGTTAAATGTTACATGACATAATGTTTTTAAAAATTGAAATGCCATGTGGTAAATAACTGTACACTGTATTTATTATAGTAATAAATTACGTTTTCCTTCTTTTTATACTTTATTAAAATAATTTTTTTCTTATTTTAACTTTCTGTTTTGATCACTAATGAGTTAAAAAAATCAAAAAAACATGAGTGGTTTGCACTCATCAGTGGTCTTTCTTCTTGGTTTTATCACCCTGCCAAACCTATGGGAGGACTAAACCAGTGAACTGATCACTTTCCACTTTCCTTCCTCCTGAATTTCTGAAACCTCAACCTGAAATTTGAAAGAAAAATTCTGAATATGAAATTTGTTGTTTCCTTTCCCCTTCTCTGACTCATAAATACATAAAGAACATGTTATGAATGTCAAGAAGTTTCCAAAGGGAAATTAATATCTGATAATGTACTAGGCATAAAACTGTATGCATAGCCTCAGGTATCTCTTATTATTCTCTGTATTTTGTGAGGTAGTTTTTACTAAGCACTCTGCCAGACAGATAAGAAAACCAAAACTTAGATTTATTAGTAATTTATCAAAAGGCACGTAACTTATCCTCTCAGAACTGATTTTGAAAACACCATGGTTTGACTCCATAACTAGTACTTCTGCCACGAATTATTGGCTAACTAATTCTGTACTAGTAATCTTATAAATGGAACTCACCATGAATGAAAATGCAAAAAGTTGTCATAGATTCAAACTTAGGTACTAGATAAAGCGCTTCTCCTCAACTGAGTTTTAGAGTGATGCTATCAAGGGCAAAAGGAGGAAAATCATTTGAATAAATAATAGTAATTTGATGTAATGAAATGATACCAAAATATTGTTCATTCGTTTATGCTACAGACATCTCAAGTGTCCTTCCCCCACACACACACTTTTTTTTGCTAGGCACTGGGAATAAAAAGACAAACCAAATACACTCCTTTCTCTTAAACTGCTAATAATCTAGCAAGGGACACACAGTGAATGCTCAGGCACAGTGGGAGTGCTGTGTTTGAAACTTTCAGCAAGAAAATAATGCCAAGTATTTTTACACTGTGTTCTCACTTTAATACAGGGTTGCATAGTCCTGGTCACACTATAAATGAAATAAAATCTCACAGCAGGACATCTGCAGTTTGACCCTGCCCTGTCTGTATTTTTTTTCTCATTGTGGAAAGATAGAGTAGATTCCAAGACAGTTCTTTGTCAGCTTAAGCTTTCCCATCCACTCGTTTTTTTCTTTGTTTAGTTTGTAGAGTTTTATTTGCCCTTTTTGTTCTGTGAGAAATTTAGGGAACATTAAAAAAAAAAGTTCAGCATGTTCCATTTAACACCTGCACCATGTTGTTGAGTTTGGTGGTTAGAACATAAGTGATTTACTTTTGTTCTCCTTTTTCTCTACATTTTTTCAAGTTTCCTAAACAAAGTATTTTGATAAGGTTTATGGATCATAAGTTCACTGAATGTATTCTAGAGTGCTTTGTCTTAGAGTCTATAAGAAAAAACAAAACAAAACTCCTAATAGTAGGATTTCCCCAATATTTAAGTGTCTAAAGACTCTAAATGAGCTTACGGGTAATGTGTGCATGTGTGTACGTTCAGTCATGTCCGACTCTTGGTGGCCCTATGGACTGTAGCCCACCAGTCTCCTCTGTCCATGGGATTTTCCAGGCAAGAATCCTGGAGTAGGTTGCCATTTCCTCCTTTGGGGGATCTGATGACCACCACATTAAATTTTGGAGTAATTTGCATGATTCCAGCGCAAGTGGAATTGACTCAGTATCAACATTAGTATATGTTTTTGAGCTATATTTAATACAAAGTTCTACCCTCAAATAAATTAATTTTACAACATTAAGCAGTCCATTTTACACCTGTAGTATTTTTCTCCTGTTAACAAGAATATTCTGTATGCTATATTTTTATTCAGTGTGTTTTCTCTTTTCCCCTTTTTATGAATAACAGGTATATACCTGCCCCACCTCTCCCCATGTTAATCTGACAAATATATTATTGTTATCATTTAATCTCAGAACTGGTGACAAGAAAAATGTAGCCTGGAAGATACTTCCAAAGAAACCATGTAAAAATCTGATGAACACACTGAATAATTTGCATCAGCAACTGGCAAAATGTAAGTGTATAATTTAATTAAAGGAAGTAATTTAATCTGAAGAAATGTCTCCAATTAATTTGCCTTACTTGTTAAAGGATAGTTTTTATCTAAAAGAAAATTTTTTAGAATGAGCATTAAAGCAAGTTTTTAGAAACCGAATGGGAGATTTTATGAAGTTTATATCATAATAGAATTTAAAAAGAGGTTAAGGTGATTACTTTCAAATACTATGGAAAAATACTGGTTTCTATTTATGTGTTTTCTTTGTACATAAAATAGAAAGTTAGTTTTGAAAGTCTGAGACAGATGGTTTAAATTACATTAGAAAATGCTGATGATTTCCATGGGGTGGGAGCATGGTCATATGCTTTTCACCTTTGGTAGATCTTAATGCTGTGGCCTACCTCAAATAATTTGAAAACAGGTTGCCAAAAGCGTTCAGAAATTAAAGTGAAAATTGGCGTATTTCAGTTCAAAGCTTACATAAGAGTGTCTTGATAGTGATCCAGAATTACTGATAAAAGGAATTAAGCCTTCAATTTATCTAAGCTTCTTATTATTTAATAACAACAGTCCATTCAGGGTTCATAATTTGATGCTGTTGTATGAAAAGTAGTCAGTAAACATGTAGCAATATTTGAGGTTCTCATTTATGTATTAAGTGAAATATAAACATGGGAGGAGGCCTACATCCTCAAGAGTTCAAGGTTACCTATAATATTGTTGGAAGCAGACACAGGAAAAGACAGTGTTTACAAAGTAAGCCTCACAACAAGTAGATAATTCACAAGTGGCTCAAAGGATTGGGATAGGAAAAAAATGACAGCAAGTGGAAACAAATTGTACCCTATGGAACAAATAAATTGCCTGTGGAATCTTATTTAAGCTACTTACTTAGCTGCTTCCTAGAAGCTCATGCACTACTTTTGGATAGCTGAGAAGTCCAGCGGCTTTATGGCAGTGCTCAGGCGTTACTAAAGTGAGTGAGCGAGCCCCTCAGCTCTACAGAAGGGCGGGGTCTAGAGCGTGAAGTTACAGGCTTACAAACACTGGTGGTTTTCAGGATTCTATGTCACTTTACAGCTTCAGAGCGCTTCCACATACACTCTTTTGTTTTTACAAATATGGAGGTAATAAATTTGAGGGAGGTAGCTTGTCCGCTATCATACAGTTAGTAAGGATGAAGCTAAGATTAAAACCTAGGTCTTCCATTCCAGTGCCCATTTTCTTTTTTGCTTTCTTAGACAATAAGAATGTCACAAAACTTCCTAAGATGATTTATTGTTCCTCATATTTTAAAACATTTTTACATTTTGAAGCAATCACAAGCATTGTTCCTTTGACTTTTTGAGAATAGATATCCCCATCGTCTCCAAATGGAATATATATTTCCTACCAACTGGTACATTCTCCTACATCACTGCTGTGTGCAATCACCATGAAAATCGGGAAATTAACATTGAGCATTGCTACTGTCCTTAGACCAATTTCAAGTTTTACTGTATGTTAAGGAGTTATGTGAACAATGGTTGAAGTAGCTTGAGCTCTTTCGAGAACTCAACACATTTATTATTTTTCTTTCAGATTTATTGAGATACAATTGATATACAGGACTGTGTAAGTTTAAGGTATACAGCATAATGACTTGAATCACATATGCAACAGATTTATAACTGCACCATTATGAACCTTAGTTTTGACAGTTCTGGAGAAAACATTAACACTGTATTTCTTCACAGTACAGCAGAGACCAAGAGATGATGGACTTATGGACTTAGCAGTGAATGATTATGACTTTAATTCTGGAAAGAGGTTGCACATGATAGATTTGGAAATCCAAGAGGCATTTTTGTGTTTCATGGCCTCTATTTTAAAAGGTTATAGATCATACTTAAGACCAATAACACAAGCCCCATCTGAGACAGCCACAGATGCAACTTCTCTTTTCGCTCTACAAGGTAAGTGATTATATAGTACTGCAGCTTTCATGTTATTGAGCTTAACTTTGTGATGATTGCTTTCTGGGTTAGTAGCTCATATTTATTAAAATATACTTGTCTATTTCAGGAGTATGTGTCTGTCAACTCAGTTGGTAATCCATTTCCTTAGAATCAGTTATTTCTCAGGCACATTAAATACAACCCCAGTAGCAAAACATACAGAAGAGACTATTTGAAAAGTACCACTGTACTCTGTTATGTCACAGGTGTGTTAAGATATTGATGCTTTCAGCTTTCAGGGGAGCCAAGCAGTGTTGGGCAAGCATAGGAGCCCCTGGGTTGGGGGATTTAAAAGATTCCTTTCAAAGGAATAGGTTCAGGTTCCTTTCCTATTGCTGTCTTTGTCAGGTCATGTCTCCTTTAGGAGTCTGTTTCTTTTTCTGCAGAATGGTAGAGTGTGGAGGGTATAGATGACATGTTTGATCCCGTTCCTGCTAGCTCAAAAATTCTCATTATATATACTAACATTGCAAATTTATGTTGAACAGCTTTCTTAAGAAGTCGGGACCGGTCACATCAGAAATTCTATAACATGATGACCAAAACACAAATGTTTATTCGTTTCATTGAGGAATGTTCTTTCGTCAGTGATAAAGATGCAAGCCTGGCGTTTTTTGATGATTGTGTAGATAAAGTAAGTCATACAGTATGTCTACAGTGCCCTAACTTATTTTGTGTGACTGTTATAAATGTTTTGAGTTACAGTTTCTATTTGTAACTTAACCAGCTTTTAACAAAATTTTAATTAATTCCATTTAATCATTGACCCTTTATTATGAACGTTTTGGTGGCCTCCTAGGTGTTATGGAACTTATAACTTTGCAGGATTTTACTGAATTATGAGTTTTATTTAGCAACCATGTCTGTAACCCTTCCTGTCCATTTATAGACTAAGGGGATTTTATCCAAGTCTGTGGACCTCTAACTTGAGCATCCTTAATTTTCACCTCTCCTTTTGGTCTGAAGTGGATTGTCACACACTGAGTAGGAACAGAACATAACATTTCACCTGAATATTTCTACAATTTGGGAGTACATTTGTAGCATAAATTAAGTGAATTAATTCTATTATATTCATCTGTGAAACCTTCCCTTCCCCTGTAGTCCACTGTCATTAGTGAGGCAGAGCAAAGTGAGTATTCATGCTGAATAGAGAGCAGCTTGGGGAGCAGGGGCCCAGAGAGGGGTGCCAGAATCTGAAGGGGTGAAGGAGGAGCCGCTGAGCATGGGGTGTTGGAGCCCAGGATGGTTGGGAGAGCGTTCACCCATGCAAGGGTAGCGTGGGGAGATCAGAGGACAAGCAGGGTGAAGAGAGTGTCCATGCTGGAGGGCGGGCTGTCCAAGGGGTCAGGACCTAAGGAGGACAGGTCCGTGCAAACATGAGGACAGCACAGTGTCAGAGTCTAAGTGTTCCTGTCGGGTGGTGCCAGCAAATGAGGTATCGGAGTTTGATCTGGAAATTAGAACATGTGAGGCATAATTGATGTGGGAAAATACTGTTTATGATGCTGATAGAGAGTTGACAAACTTAAGATGCCAGAAATAACCACCCTAGTCCTTGAAATGCTTTGCTTTGCTTGCTTAGTTGCTCAGTCATGTGCGTCTCTTGAGACACTATGGACTGCAGCCCACCAGGTTCCTTTGTCCATGGGATTTTTCAGGCAAGAATACTGGAGCAGGATGCCATTTCCTCCTCCAGGTGATTGTCCCAACCCAGGGATCAAACCCGCATCTCCCTGCATTGCAGGTGGATTCTTTACCTGCTGAGCCATCAGCGAAACCCTGAAATGCTTTAGAATAGGGAAAAGGTGGATATATGCCAATATATTCTTAGAACTCAAAATTCATTTTCTCGTAGAAACACTGATATATGTGGTGACTATCTGTAGTTCAGATGGTGCATGACTATATTGTTGTGCCAGAAATATGTATTAAATTTCTTTTTGGTGGATTGATATTCTAACCACCTTTTAGGACAAATTTTTAGAGTCCAAATTTATTGTAATAAGTATATAAATGATAAATGCACCTTTGAAGTGTACAGTTTGGTAAGTTTTGGCAAATATAGATTTCCATGTAACCATGACCCCAAAACATAGAACATTTCTATCACCCCAAAAAGGTACTGGTTTTTTTGGGAAATTCATTTTTTGTAGTTTGAATAACCTATACAAATAAGACAGACTTTTAGAACCCTGCTTTTTTGTAAGTTGAGTTCTGTCTTGAAATCCTGTTTATTTTGAGAAGTAACGTTACAGGTCCTTGATAGTTTTGTCTTCATTGTAGCATACTAAGAATGTGTTTTTCAATATTTTAATTAAATTTTTAAGTTTGCCTTTTTTGGTGCTTTTAAAGTTAAATATTAATAGAAAGAATAAATAGAAAAGGTGTTCAAAGAATAAAAGCGTATGCTTTAAAGAATAATTTCTCTAAATCCTTTTTTATAGGAATAGTTCTGTTGGTTTTTCAAAATAAAAATGTTTCTAACTAGCATGCACTTTGAATGTTTTTCCTCTGTAGCGCTTGGCTTGCTCTATGGTGCTGAGCTTCCCTTGTGAACAATGGCATATATTAATAATTGGGTAACAATTGTTCCTTGTACCAAGTCAGCTGAATCATATGGGACCAAATTAGTGACAGGGTTTGCTAATAGCCTGCTTTAGCCAATAAATTTATGAATCTACATAGGAACACTGAATTAGTTGGAAGAATCCAATTAACAATGCAGAAAAGAAAAATCTTGTATTGTTCCCTTTTTCTTCTTGCTCATTTTGTGTATCTTGCTTTCACAAGTTTGTGTTTCAGCTAAAAACTCATATAATGGTATCACATGGTTTAAAAAAATTCTTACAATATTGTAAGACATACAGGATTTATAATTTTGCTAGATATTTGGAGTATCATGTTCTAAGAAGGATATTTTATTACTTAAAATTTCTGTATTGTCTAGGATTTTCTGAAAATAGGTTACTTACTGTTTAGTTGATAAAAGTTAGTGTGAGGCATGATTGACTTAAAGAATATAAATTCTGAGAAGTCTCAAAAAAGAAACAACCCAATTAAATGTATAATTATTGTGTCTAGGCAGATTGTTTTCCTAAAATGCTCTTTACCTATTCAAAGTCTGGATCCAACGAAATATCACTTATATATAGTGGATTCATATTATACTTAAGAATTTTGATGATTACTAAGAAAGTCAAAACTGGAAAATTTACTCACTAAAACATAGTTACTTGTGTTTGCTTTATTATAATTCAAGGAACTCCTATTAGAGAAAATAATAAAATGTCAAAAATCCAAAGTGTATCTTTTTCTTACTTAAAAGTGATTTTATTTGTGATATCATAAAATGTATCTTAATAGAGGTTAATTGTATTCCTAGTATTAAGCAGAAGTCTTTGAAATAGTAAATAATTGTACAGTGCTGTTACTATTTTTCATATTTTAATAGCACAGTTTCAGTTCATTAAGCAGAAAAAGTCAATGCTTGCTTTTAATGTGTAAATGGTTTTTGAATATCAATAATATTTTTAAAATAGACATTCTTATGGGATTATTCCTTAGCTAAATGACTGTGAGCTTAATTTTTTAAGTGAACAGATCCCCTCTGGCAGTCTGGCTACGAAAACTAAATAATATTAGATATTCATTAAGTGTTTCAGCCAATCCTTGACTAAGATTGAACAAAACTTAGACATATTCCTCTTTTGATCTTAGCCTATCCAAACAGGAAACATTTGGTCAATTTTAAAAAACCTGGAGTGGGTAATGCTGACTAGGACTAAGAAAAACAATATATGAGAATTATTTGTGTTTCATTTATGACTAATTTGAAAGCCATGTGTTCTTTTTCTTCATATGATTGTATTTTAAATCCTTACAATCTGTTCCTATAGGATGGAGCTTAACTGAAAGCAGATTTGTGTAACAAATAGTCTGGTAAGGTTTTTCTTGGTCTCCCAAGCATCCCTCTGCAGTGTTTTCTGAGCATATTAATGTCTTGTGAAAAAATATGAAGAGAATATGAAAATTATTTTAATTTTATCCTGCCGTGGGTGTTGGATTTCTTTTTTCTCCCAATAGAGACAGATGTCACTGTGTTTTCCAAAAGACAGAAATGCCCAACTGATAAATGAAGCATTTATTACATGGTGATTTTTGTAATGTTGAAATGAGATTTTATTAGTAGACAAGCCAAGGGAAGTTATCCCAAGGTACTGAATTTACAGAGCACAATTTTAATATTTTAGTAGACTTTGCAATACTTACAGCAATTGTCCGTGTCCATAGGTTTTTTCCTATGCAAACAAAGGGACAGGTCTGAGAGGGAGAAGCTGATAAATAAATAAAATTTTTAAAACACCTAATGCTCACTCCATTATGAAGACCAGAGTGGTTGGTTTCCAGCTTCCTTTCCAGTGTCCTTTGGTATCAGTTGTAACCTTTTTATTCTGGTTCATCTCTTCTACTTTGTTATCACTGCTGCTGTTATAATTACATTAACCTCTTTTCATCTACATAAAAATGTTTGCATATCATATAGAGCTTCTCATTTCATTTTGGGGTTGCCCATGGACAGTCTGGAAAAGGTCAGTTTTCATTCCAATCCCAAAGAAAGGCAATGCCAAAGAATGTTCAAACTACCACACAACTGCACTCATCTCACACGCTAGGAGAGTAATGCTCAAAATTCTTCAAGCCAGGCTTCAACAGTATGTGAACCGTGAACTTCCAGATGTTCAAGCTGGGTTTAGAAAAGACAGAGGAACCAGAGATCAAATTGCCAATATCCGTTGGATCATTGAAAAAGCAAGAGAGTTCCAGAAAAACATCTATTTCTGCCTTATTGAAAACGCCGAAACCTTTGACCGTGTGGATCACAACAGACTGTGGAAAATTCTTCAAGAGATGGGAATACCAGACCACCTTACGTGCCTCCTGAGAAATCTGTATGCAAATCAAGAAGCAACAGTTAGAACTGGACATGGAACAACAGACTGTTTCCAGATCTGGAGAGGAGTACGTTAAAGCTGTATATTGTCACCCTGTTTATTTAACTTATATGCAGAGTACATTATGTGAAATGCTGGGCTGGATGAAGCACAAGCTAGAATCAAGATTGCCAGCAGAAATATCAATAACCTCAGATACACAGATGACACCACCCTTATGGCAGAAAGCGAAGAAAACCTCAAGAGCCTCTTGATGAAAGTGAAAGAGGAGAGAGAAAAAGTTGACTTAAAACTCACCATCAGAAAACTAAGACCATGGCATCTGGTCCCATCACTTCATGGCAGATAGATGGAGAAACAATGGAAACAGTGAGAGACTTTATTTTTTTGGGCTCCAAAATCACTGCAGATGGTGACTGCAGCCATGGAATTAAAAGATGCCTGCTCCTTGGAAGAAAAACTAGGACCAACATAGACAGCATGTTAAAAAGCAGAGACATTACTCAGCCAACAAAGGTCCATCTAGTCAAAGCTATGGTTTTTTCCAGTAGTCATGTATGGATGTGAGAGTTGGCCTATAATGAAAGCTGAGCAGCAGAGAATTGATGCTTTTGAACTATGGTGTTGCAGAAGACTTTTGAGAGTCTCTTGGACTCCTAGGAGATCCAACCAGTCCATC